ATCCGTTACCCCCATCCATGGGGCCTTCATCTGAAGGGAGGCAGTACCTCTTACAGATTTTCTGTTTCAATTCCATCCTTCTCCCTCAGAATCCTGGCAAGAGTAATTAATGGAAGCTCATCCGCGCTGGAGATGCTTCGGGATCTGGAGGTCATGCTGCAAATCTAAGTCCATGCGGAAGCTCCACGAAAATTCCATGTCAGTCCCACGTGATTAGAGAAGGTATTCAACTGCTAGACAGGCCTAAGTGGAGGGTGTACAGCTTCTAACTTCTAGACGGGCTCACAGTAGACGCGTGTACCCACTGATAGTAACCATTACAAAGTTGGGATAGGGGGTCGATGCACCTCTTTCAACCCGTACACTCTGAGCACGCAAATGGGTTTGGAATCAGGCCTGGCGAGCCACCCCAGCCCTCTCAGCTTGATTCTGGCATGCGCAGGTTGAACGACTCGGCTTCAAGCATTTGTGGGCAACGGCTTTCCAATTCTAACTGTTCCGGTTTTTGGGCTGCCAAAGGAGCTAGCTATCAGAAGCACGTGCGGTGAGGGGTCCACGAAGGTTTCGCAATAGATTTTCAACGTTCACGCACATCACCCTTCTAAAGTCCGATGCATGATAAGTCGGAGTAGCCCTGTGGCATGTGTAGCGCCTGCGGATGTACACAACGTGCCTCTAGAATCTTGCGGGAAGCGTGCACTTATGGCACATGGCATGCTTGCAGGCCCATCGGTGACGTGGGGAAGGCTGGTGCCTAGATTTTCGACAGTCGGCGATTCCAACTTGGAGTGCAGAGTGCTTAATCTAAGGGTTGGGTGCAGGCTCTCAGTTTGTGTATGAGTGGCAGGCAACAATTTTGCTTCAGGACCACACAAGCTTTTATCAAGCTGTGTCACATCGTTGCGTTCAGCAGGTCTTGGGTGGAAGATCGCCCTCCAGTGCTGGCCGCAATCCGAAACCGGCGTTTGCCTCCTGCACCGCCTCCCGTGCAGTGGGTGCCCCGACTCCGTCTCAACACCCTGTTGCTATGACTTTGATAGTGTACCCCCAATAATGGAGAATCAAATGGAAAATGAAATGGAAACTGGGGTTATATAGGGGTTAGTGGATATGTTGGGGTTATTGGGATAATGGAAAAGAAAATGGAAACTACTATAGTATATAGGGGTTATATAGGGATTATTAGGGTATGTATTATTTATGTAGATAGTCCATATCGGAGCCTCGATGCTCTCTTGCTTGCTGATGTGCTTTGCATCTTGCTGCTGAAGCTGCAGGATATTTGGCATGGCTGATCTCCCAACCTGAGACGGATAATTGAATCGCAAGATTGAAGCAAAGAGGCCTTTCACAAAATTGTAGTCCATATTTTCCCTTCACAATTAAAAATGAAAGCTGCAAATAGAGGGTATGTCATTAATTAATGTGGACCACTACTTCATAGGGCAGATTCCTACAAACCTGGAGGCCCCTCACGAAACTTCTGGAGCTTTGAATTTTTTTCGCAAAGCTACCACGTGGAATTTTTACATCAACTGCCCGAGGTACCTCAACATCCACATGTCGTGGACGGAGGCCAGCTTTGGGAGTGGATCATAGTGACGACCAATACGTTGATGTTGTTGTTGCAGTAGACTTGGTTTTGGTGGTGGGGTGAGTATGATGGTGATGGTGATGGTGGTGACCTCTGGGCTTGAGGGTCTTTTTTGTGGTGAACCTTACCGCTGTACCTCAAATTGAAGTTGGTACTGTTCTACTTATGGCCGGGGCTGATAGCCCAGTTGCTTGGTCCGTTTCTCACTGAATCTTGGAGACACTAGGCGCCACTTCAGACCTGAGCAGCTGCAAGTGCTTCCATGTATGTAATCCAAGGGGACTGGAACTGGAAGTCTGAGCCAGGGTTTGAAGTACAGACGCTTGCCAAGGTTTCTGGGCTCCTGTGTACTCCCCTTCGCACGTTCACGCAGCTACGCTGGAAGCCTACAAGACTTGCGGGGCACTTCGGGTGTTTCCTTTTTGGGGATGTTGCCGCTGGCCGGGCTTGTCCCGCATATTGGGGTTATGTAAAGGAATAATGGAAGAGAAAATGGATACTATCATAACGGGCTTAGAAGACCTGTGAGTGAGTGAGGAACGACCTGCAGTGCACTCCGGCCTACGGAAACGTTCCCTCCC